TAGAAATCCTGAATAGACTGATTACTATTACGGACACTGATCAGTAATCAAAAAAACTCCCAATGAACAAAAGTCTGGACCAGACAGCTTCACTGGTGAATTATGCCAAACACTCAAAGAATCTGATACCAATCCTTCTCAAACTCTTCCAAAAAACTGAAAATCAGGGAATGTTCTCAAACTTATTTTACAAGGTCAGTATTACCCTGATATCAAAACCAGACAAGGGAACAACAACAACAACAACAAAAAGAAATTACAGGCCAATATACTGAGATGGTTAGATGGCATCACCAACCCAATGAACGTGACTTTGAGCAAACTCCAGGAGATAGTAAAGGACAGGGAAGCTTGGCGTGCTGCAGTCCACGGGAACACAAAGAATCAGATATGACTTAGTGACTGAGCAACAACAACATCCAGCAGCCACGAAATTAAAAGACACTTGCTCCTTGGAAGGAAAGCTAAGAAAAACCTAGAGAGTGTATTAAAATGCAGAAACATCACTCTGCCACCAAAGATCCATATAGTCAAAGCTATGGTTTTCCAGTAGTCATGTACAGATGTGAGAGCTGGACCATAAAGAAGGCCGAGGGCCAAACAATTGATGCTTCTGAACTGTGGTGCTGGAGAAGGTTCTTGAGAGTTCCGTGGACAGCAAGGAAATCAAACCAGTCAATCCCAAAGGAAATGAATCCCTGAATATTCATTGGAAGGACTGACGCTAAAGCTGAGGCTCCAATACTTTGGCCACCTGATACGAAAAGCTGACTCATTGGAAAAGAAGATCCTGATGCTGGGAAAGGTTGAAGGCAGGGTGGCAGAGAATGAGATGATTAGATAGCATCACCTCAATGGACATGAATTTGAGCAAACTCTGGGAGATAGTGGAAGACAGAGGCACCTGGAGTGCTACAGTCCATGGGGTTGCAAAGAGCCAGACACAACTTGGCAACTGAACAACAATCCCTGAACACAGATGCAAAAACCCTCAACAAAACATCAGCAAACCAAATTCAACAAGAATAAAAAGATCATGCACCATGATCAAGTGGGATTTATTCTAATATGCCAAGGACAGTTCAAAATCCATGAATCAGTCAATGTGATATACCACGTTATCAAATGGAAGAATACAAATCATATGATCATCCCAATAGGTGCATAAAAAGTATCTGAAAAAAATCCAACATATATCATAAAAACTCTCAACAAAGTGGGCATGGATGGAACATTTGTTGTTGTTTAGTCCTTAAGTCATGTCTGACTATTTTGCAACACCATGAACTATAGCCTGCCAAGCTTCTCTCCTCTGTCCATAGGATTTCGCAGGCAAGAATACTGAAATGGGTTACCTTTTCTTTCTCTAAAGATCTTCCCGACCCAGGGATCAAACCCACATCTCCTACATTGAAGGCGAATTCTTCACCTCTGAGCCACAGGGTACTTAAACACTGTAAAGGCCACAAGCCCAGAGTTACCATCATACTTGACAGCAAAAAAATTAAAACCTTTCCCCTTAATATTAGGAAGAAGGCTCCCACTCTTGCCACTCTTATTCAACAGAGTATTGAAGGTCCTAGCCAGAGCAATCAGGTGGAAAAAGAAATAAAAGGCATCCAAATTGGAAAGGAAAAAATAAAACTATCATTATTTGCAGACAACATGATGTTATATACAGAGAAAACCCTAGACCATATGATACAACCATTTCAATTTAAGTACATACCCAAAAGATTTGAAAGCAGGAACTCAAAACAGATACATGTACACCAACATTCACTGCATCATTCACTACAGCCAAAGGTTAAAACAAATGTCCATCAACAGACGAATGGGTAAACAAAACGTGTGACAAAGACACAACGGAATATTAGGCACAATGGAAAGGAATGCAGTCCTGACACAGGCTAGAACATGGATGAACACTGCATTGATAAGTGAAATAAGCCAGACCCAGAAGGACAAATATTTGGTTCCATTTATACGAGTTTCTTGAGAAGTCAAACTCAGAGAGACAGAAGTAGAACAGAGGATAGATACTGGGGCTGGGAGCAGGGGAGATGGAAGATGAGGAGTTACTATTCAATGGGTACAGAGTTCCTGTCTGGGTCAATAAAAAGTTCTGGCAATAGACAGTGGAGATGGTTATATAACACCGTGAATATATTTAATACCACTGAATTCTATGCTTAGAAATGGGTTAAATGGTAAATTTTATGTTCACCATCTACATTTCTGTGGTGAATTTTACAATTCAAAAAAACTTGAAGGATGACAAATAACAACAACAAAAAAGACAGTAACAGTCTTCACTATGTAACATGCACTAGCACATTCGTTCTACATCTGGAGACAAATTTCAATGTGCGCATTCGCAGAGCAGAGAGATATCTGTGGGCCGTAAGGATGGACCTTTCCTTCCTCACCTGAGCCTGGGCTTAAGAAGTATCCAGAGACTTTTCAGTGGATCATTCGTCGCACCCTCTGAGGCTGCCCTGTCCCCACAGTATGCTGCATCCTATCCTGTGCCATACACTGTACCAGGGTCTAGGTCACAGACCCTATGTTGGTTAGAGGCCCTTGGGAAGCTGTCTAAGCATCTACTACTTGGAAGAAGAGCAAAACAGTGCAAACTTCAACTTCAGAACTTCTCAGAAAATCAGTACGCCTACAAAAGTACTGATCAACCTTTCCACTTGTATTAATATCATGGCAGTACAGTTATAGTGTAATGGCCACATTTACAACTTTCATTAAAAACCCTCCTTGCTTGTGGTCTGACTATAGGCCTTGGCTGATTTCCTTCAAACCCCAGACTTGTGATGCTGTGCTTAATACTCTAGTTAATTTTAAAGGCCTCTGGAATAAGTGGAAGACACGAGGCTATGAAAGGATCCGGCATGAGACGAACGCCTTACACCATTATGTTCATCCCAATTCATGCCACACACAGACACATTGACCTGCATCCTGAAGGGACGGGCTCCTGTCAAACCTCTGAGAACACAGAGCAGGCTGGATGGCATGAGGCCCTCCCTGATCACCGGCTGGGCTGGGGAGAGACTAGAGAGGGAGTGAGGTCTGCCTGTGGGCCTGGCAGGCTTCACGCCTTTACAAACAAGCTGACAAACCAAGCAGAGAAGTTCCTTCACGTCATGAATAGAAAAGGAATTATTTAGAGCTTAAATTTAAAAAACAGATACCATTTTACTGCTGCTGTTTCTGATTTTAAAATTCACAAGTGACCTCAGACACTGCCACGTATATACTTCAATGAATACTTTTTAAAATGAGTTTTCTTTAGATCTTTAGATGCAAAAAAAAATGAAGATTCCGTGTTTTCCCCTTGACCTTCACAAGAAAAGTAGAAATATTAGAAAGGCTAGTCACTCCTGAAAATTGGCCTTAAGTACTTTTCCTGTAATATACATTCAAAATATGTATTTTGCATGTTTCTTTCTGAGGGAGTTTTCGTAAGAACCCTTGCTATCTTTAGCACTTTAAAATTAGGAGAAAAAAAAACATATCCTTCTTAATCACATTCATCTACTAATTAGCTAAACTACATGACAGTCATGGGCTTGGCCCAGTTCCATTTTTCTCTATATGCCACCGATCCCATTTTTGGCAGGAAAAAGACCCTGCATTTCTAGAGAAAGCACAACTAATTACAACTAGTTTATCTCTCATTACCTTATCAAGCAAATAACCAAAATGAAAATGATACTATGCTAGAAAAAGAACAAAAACACAACATCCTCAATTTTATTTGCCAGTCATCAGGGCCCACAGCACCACACAGCACAGATGGACCAATGTCTGCCTCCGTGAATTTTAAATTGCCTTTTACAACTTTTCTCTGCTTTTGATGAGCCAGGTTCCACAATATGTCAGCTTGTGAAATTCAAGCAACTGTGTATATATATAAGCTCCTTCATTCAGACTCAGCCATAAACTGCACAAAGCCTGTAAGATCTGCTTAAAAGAAAAATGAAGTTATTCCAAACTGCCACGCACACAGAAACAGCATACACATGTGCTTGGGGCTGCCACGGGAAAGGATGCTAGCCTGTGTTTTTGCACCTGCAGAACTCCCAGAGCCTACAGGCCTGCAGCGTCATCCTGATGGACCTAGCACATGCTGCCGTGACTCTAAGGAGTGACAGAGGGGACTCTGCTCACCCATCACAGCACCACGAGAAACAGAGAGCACCCTCCTCTGTTCTCTGCCAGAGGCCCAGACACAGTTGAGAAGGACACACACCTGTGCACATCATTTAAAGAACTTCAAGCAACTGTGCGAAGGCCCATGTCATGATAATCTCATATGAAAAACTGGATCCCTGAGTTTATAGCCAAAGGGCCCAGAACAATGTAAGGAGAGTTTTTTCTCCAGCCACATATATGCATTGTAATATGCAACTTCCTAATACCAAGTTTATAATACTTCAGAAAACAACAGTTACAGCACATCAATGACTCTGCTGGCTTTATTTATTCAAAAACAAAAGAGGCAAAAAAAATACAGAACTAAAATGTCCAATGTCATCTGAAATAACAAGTTCACCAAAAGGTGGAAAGGTAAATGTGAACTGGGGGGATTAATTGCAATCATTAGAGAGAATGAATTGTTTTCCAAAAAATGTATCTCAGGAAAATGCTGACCAATAGGGTAGGTGGTTATTTAACCTCCCACTTTTAGGGGTAGCCAACAGGTCTCAGAGTCTCCTGGGCAGCAGGAGCCTCTCTGAGAAGGCCCTCTTCTGGCTGCAGCTGAGATGGGCCTTTCTGGAAGGACAGATCCTTCCTCAGGCTCCCCTTCTGGCAAGGTTAACCAATCACCCACAAGAATTTTTACTTCCAAGAGGAAGTCCTGTAGATACATATCAATTCACACCCATCGCTAGTCATCACATCTGCATGTGTAACATGGCACATGGCTGGTGACTTTGGAGGACAAAGTGGGGACCCGGGGAGAAGATGGTGCATGAGCACCCCTACACATCACGCTCCAGAGCACGCAGGTCCTCCAGGAGCTCCTGGGCCACGGTCTGCAGGTGGGGGTTGCGGCTCTTGGCCATAGCCAGGATGCGCTGCAGGGGCAAGGAGCTCCGGAACTCAGAGGCTGACCTGGAGAAGACTTCTGGCTCCAGCACCACAGACTGGACGAGGCGCAGCACGTGAAGACACACCTCTGCGTCGGGATCTGGGGAAGAGGCAATGCTCTGGTTAGAATAAAACCTTCCACGGGGACCCTTGGCAGAAGCCACCCTCAGGGTTTCCTGGTCTTTTGGAATGATGGATTGGACAGTTTACTGAGCTATGAACTGACCCAAAATAGTGTCACTTCTTTACGTTAAAGCTGAGCTCACGAAAGGCACATGAAAACATCTTCTACTTAGTAATGTTCCACCTTCAACTATTATTCACAATCATGTAATTTTAAAATGCTGAACTAAAAATATGAGGGTTTTTCATGTAGTCTGCTGTAATTCTGTCCACTTATACGAGTGCTTTAAAGGTATTGCTTCACTTTCACTCCAAGTTCAGCAAACCCAAGAGACCACATACTGATGAGGCATCCCTCAGGCCACTGAGCTCTGCAAAGTCACGGCTGCAACACTCAAGCTGCCTTCTGTTTTCCATGGGAGGCTCCCTGGAGTTACAGAGCCAGCAGCCACGGACCACAGCAGGCACGTAGAAGCAGCTGGACCGAAACAAGAGCCCCAAGCAAGCTGTAACCCTGACCACCACGGATACCCTTCTCCTCACCACGGCTCTCCACTGGGAATGTTAAACATGCCATGGAGTCATTTCTTCATTAGATTCTGTAATAGGAACCAGACTCAAAATCTGTATCTCTTTCCTAGCACTACACTTTAAAAACCTTTAAGCTTTAAGTGGATTGAAGAGAGTAGACTAAACAAGCGCTCAGTGGGCACTACCATGGCGCGCGCACGCACGCACACACACACACCCGAGCTCTTCTGTTCTGAACAAAAGCACCGAGACATATGGAGACTGCTGTGCTGGGAGGCAGAAACCCCCTTGGGTCCAGACAGTGAAATCCTCCTGTCTGGGGGGATGGGAAGGAAACTCTCTGGCACAAAAACAACCAAAGACACAAGCAGAGTGGCTGACACGGGAAGGAGGACAGGATCTCTACGAAGGCACCCACTCGGATAGAGGCGCAAGAGGGAGCTCCACACACTCACCCCACGACCTGCAGTGGCCCAGCAAACACCCAGCAGCCAAGGAGAACAATCTATGGCAGGAAGCAAAACCATGGAAGGTGATCCCTCTGAGACACAGACCAAAGGGAAGGCCCTCAGCTGAGGGTGGAGATTGCTCTGGCCACTCAGTCCGCACCGTCAGCACAGGAAGGAGATGTTCTGAAAGCAGCAATGCAGGGGTAACCACAGCAGCAAACCCCAAGCCCAGCCCAGCCCCAACATCGCCATCCCAGCAGAATAAGACCTGTAAACACTTTACCTGTTCTCTCCTGCAGAGGTTGGCATGCAGGCCAAAGTCAGCCCATGTTTCCACACAGGCTGTGAGCTAAGGGTGGCTGCTACCTTTTTAAAGGGTTATTTTAAAAGAAAACAAACAGCAAAATAATACACAACAGAAACCACACGTGATTCTCAAAGTTCAAAATAGTTAGCAGCGAGCTCATTACAGGAAAAGCCTGCTGACCTCCACTCTACTGCCTATACACAAGGCCCACCATTCAGTCAGAAATCACAGTGACAAAGCAAGGGGCATAAAACTCCACTGAAGTAATAATCGAACCAGACTCAGAGATAACCTAGATGGAGAAACAATTAGAAAAGGAATTTGAAATAAATATGATCAAGAGATGGGTAAACACTGTTTGAGTTCTTGCAGTATACGTGAAGCAGTATAATATTTTACTTAAAGACTTTTAATGTTTTAATTTAAAATCAACTGATTAATTAATGCAATTAATAATAACTCAATTCAATTTAGTTCAGTCACTCAGTCATGTCTGACTCTTCAGAACGCCATGACTGCAGCATGCCAGGCTTCCCTGTCCATCACCAACTCCTGGAGCTTGCTCAAACTCATGTCCATTGAGTTGGTGATGCCATCCAACCATCTCATCCTCTGTTGTCCCCTTCTCCTCCTGCCCTCAGTCTTTCATTTCCTAGCTTCAGGGTCTTTTCCAGTGAGTCAGTTCTTCACATCAGGTGGCCCAAGTATTGGAGCTTCAGCTTGAACATCAGTCTTTCCAATAAATATTCAAGACTGATTTCCTTTAGGATTGACTGGTTTGATCTCCTTGCAATCCAGGGGACTCTCAAGAGTTGTCTCCAGCACCATAGTTTGAAAGCATCAATTCTTTGGTGCTCAGCCTTCTTTATGGTCCAACTCTCACATCCATACACGACTACCGGAAAAACCATAGCTTTGACTATATGGACCTTTGCCGGCAAAGTGATATCTCTGCTTTTGAATACACTGTAGGTTTGTCATAGCTTTTTGTCCAAGCAGCAAGTGCCTTTTAATGTCATGGCTTCAATCACCATCTGCAGTGATTTTGGAGCCCAAGAAAATAAAGTCTCTCACTGTTTCCATTGTTTACCCATCTATTTGCCATAAAGTGATGGGACAAGATGCCATGATCTTTGCTTTTTGAATGCTGAGTTTTAAGCCAGTTTTTTTTTCACTTTCTTTCACCTTCATCAAGAAGCTCTTTAGTTCCTCTTCCCTTTCTGCCATTAAAGTGGCATATTAGATATGATAGATAACTAATTATAAATTAATTCACAGTTAGAATTGGAAACTTTAATACTTTTATTTCCATTACTGATTTTAAAAAAGGAAGAAAATCAGTGAAGATACAGAATCCCTTAACAACAGTATCAACCAATTTGACCAAATATGCATTCAAAAGAATTCAAAGTACATTCTGTGATCACAAAGAATTAAGTTAGAAATACAGAAATACATAATAAATAACAGAAAATAAGTGAAAAAATCTCCAGATATTATTCATAATTTTTTCTAAATAACCTGTGGATCAAGAAGAAGTCATAAGGAAAACTAGGAATTACTGTGATTGAAATGAAAATAAAACACATTATCATAATTTGTAGACAGAGTTAAATCACTGCTTATCAGGGGAAATTATAGCACTGAATGCTTGTGTTGGACAAGAACAAAGGTCTCAAATTAATTTCCTTACCTTTCATCCTAAAAAAAAAAAAGGGGACTTCCCTGGTGGTCTGGTGGCTTAGAGTCTGCCTGCCAGTGCAGGGGACACAGACAGGTTCAGTCCCTGCTCTGGGAAGACTCCATATGCCACAGGGCAGCTAAGCCTGTGTATTCCAACTACTGAGCCCGCAGGCTGCAACTAACAAAGCCCAACAAGAGAAGCCACCACACTGAAGCCCATGAACTGCGAGAAAGAGTGGTCCCTGCTCACTGCAACTAGAGAAAGCCCACATGCACCAACAAAGACCCAGTGCAGCCAAAAATAAATAAATTTTTAAATAAAAAAGTAAAAAATCAAACCAAAAACAAGCCAAGGGAAAGTAAAAACAAAGAGCAGAAATCAAGACAAATGAGGATAAACAAAAAAGTAGGGGGAAAAAAAATTAGCCCCAAAGCTGACCCTGCTAAAAAGAAATCTACAAAACTGAAAAAATTCTAGCCAGGCCAAACAAGGAACAGAGGCAGAAGAAAAGACAGACACAGATTACAAGTGCTGGTAATGAAAGAGACGTCACCACAGAAGCTACAGATACTAAAGAAACGATAAGGGGATATGGGCGTCCCTGGTGGCTCAGGCAGGAAAGAATCTGCCCGCAACGCTGGAGACCCAGGTTCAACCCCTGGGTTGAGAAGATTCCCCTGGAGAAAGGAATGGCTATCCACTCCAGTACTCCTGCTCGGAGAATTCCATGAGAGGAGCCTGGTGGACTACCGTTCATGGCGTCGCAAAGAGTCGGACACGACTGAAGCGATTTAGCAGCAGCAGCAACAAAAGGTCTGACCACAGAATCCTGTTAAATCACAAGAATAGTTACAATACGACTTGATTTTTAATCGCTCTCCAGGACATTCTAATCTACTGAACGAAACAAAACCAACAGAAGGAAACCGGTGCCTCCATCAATGTGGTTGCACATAGCAGGAGAGGGCAGGGGCCAGCAGCTTGCAACTGCCGGCTCTCCCTCCAGGACAGGCCACACGGCCAGCCCAGGGCGTCTCCAGAGCACTGCAGAGCAGGAGAGGATAGCTCTCACACCCAGAGCCTGCTCTCCACTGAGCGGTTCACCTGTGAGGGCCACAGGGCCAGCCAGACACGCCATCACTGCTCAGAAGTGTCCAGAACGCCTCTTGCAGCTGCCTTCAGAGTCAGTCTGGGCGCCATTCCCAAACACCGGGGTCACCGCCTGAGACACGTCCGGATCCTAACACCCGGCGTGTACCGAGTCGGGCTGCTGACCACCTAGCCGCAGGCTCCCCTCCAAGCCCCTCCCGGCCGGCAGGTTCTCCTACCGCTGCTCAGCTTACTCACAGTGTCACAGGAGCTGGAGGACACTGCGCTCTCCAGGCTCTCCTCCCCCTCGTCCTGCCTCGTCATGGTCCCTCTCTCTCCTTGCTTCCTCCTCCTCCTTTCCCTCCTGCTCTGACAACGCTGGAGCGGCCCAGGCCCAGCCTCAGACCCTCCCACTCCCTGGATGATGTCCACTGCTGCAGCCGCATAGGCATCCTCCACCATGACGGCTCACAGGGTGGCCTCCAGCCCTAGCCTCTGCGTGACTCAGCTCACAAATCCAACTGTGCCCTTCACATCTCCCTTTGAACATGAAACAGGCCTCCCGAATTTAACATGAGAAGAATTACTGTTCCTCCCAAGTCCCCCCAACAGCACCATCAGGGATAAGTTTGTCGTTCGGTCACTCAGTCGTGTCTACTCTTTGCGACCCCATGGACTGTCACTCACCAGGCTCCTCCATCCATGGCATTTTTCAGGCAAGAATACTGGAGTGGGTTGCCATTTCCTTCTCCAGGGGATCTTCCCAACCCAGAGATCAAACCTACATCTCCTGCATTGCAGGTGGACTCTTGACCACTGAGCCGCCAGGGAAGCCCAGGGACCAACTACCCAGCCCCAAACCTAAGCACCAACCCGGCTTCCCTCCCTCATATTCCCGTCCCTTCAAAACAGACCTT